GGGTTATTTCCAAAGTGAAAGTGAAGATCTAACGGTTGTAGCAATGTGTTGGAACTTCATAAAGCAGAAGCACATTTTCAACTGGCTATAACAGATGCGCATTATTTAGCTTATTTATTAGACCCTCAGTACTTAGGTCAGAAACTCTCTGAGGTGGAAGTTGATAGAGCATTGTTATTTATTTCGGATTTTCATCCAAATGTAATGCCCGAAATACTGTCATTTTGTGCCTTAGCACCGCCATTTAATAAACAATATTTGTTTGCAAAAAATACAGTAGACAATTTAAGTTCTTTAACATGGTGGCTATCTCAAAAACAGTTTATTTCATCGGAGTTGTTGCAGCTGACAACTCAATTATTTTCAGCAGTTGCATCCAGTGCTGGAGTGGAGAGGCTATTTTCTTCATATGGTCTAGTTCACTTGAAATTGAGGAATAGGTTAGGAAGTGACAAATCTGCTAAGCTAGTAACAATATTTCAACATTTAAATAAAAATGTTTAAGGTTACATTATTAACCGTAAAAGCTCTATATTTATAGTTTTTATTTTTTTAAGGAACATTTATTGTTATTTTTATTTTTTGTATCACATATCAGTTGCAGGATGTAGGACTGCGTAATAGATGCTGTTGTAATTCAATAATTATTTACTTAATTTCTTAATTTTCTTTTTCTTTTAACTTTATTAGGAGTATTGGTTTAGTTAATGTTACTACAGCACTGTCGTAACAGTACTAGTATGCTTGCTACCTGAACATAAATAAAGTTTAGTCAGTTACTTTTTTTGAGTTTTACTTTTTACTTAGCATTAATATTGTTATTGCACCTACTTACTCTATAGTCTATGTTTGCAATTTTGCAAATTAGCAAACACAAATGTCTTATAACAAATGTTAATAAACAAAATAATAATAAACAATAATGAAAAAAAAACTGTGTTTTAAAACAGTGTTTTAAAATGCAACTGTTTTTTTTCAGTGTTTTTAAACATGTTTTAAAACGTTGTTTTAAAAAGCTTGTTTTAAAACAGCCCAACCCTGGTTATACCTAGGTTTATGACGCAAAAATGTGTTACTTTATCTATACTTATAACATGTTATAATAACATATTATACATAACATTTAACATAGGTGTTTATTGTACTTACGTAAATCTAAATATGTACATAAGTATATGTATAATATGTATTGAAATAAGTATAAGTAGTCAATAAAGTATACTCATAATATAATGGCTTCTCAAAATCTTTTATTATAAAAATGTAGGCATACATATACTATTAATTTTTAAAAAGACAAAGAAAAATACATACATTTATGTATTACCAAATATGTAAATACAACATTTTACCTGAATATTTAATGAAAAGTCTGTGATTTTTGTTTATCGCCTTCCTTGAACTTCTGAAAAAAACAATTTTTTCAATTGATGTGGAAACAATCAATTCTTTCACACTCTGGAAAGTTTCAGCAGTCTCAATAAATGCTCTTATAGTGGAACAAGCAGTATACGCTTCAGCAACAGTAGGAATTTTGCTGAATTCTTCGAATTCTTCATCAGCCTCACCACTACTTTGTTTGTCACTAATTTTGTGACTCAGTATGATGTCAATATCTGACAGTTCTTCGCTCGTACTTATTTTGTCATACACTCGTACATAGTCATCTGCAGAGCAGTCAGAACTGAGAAGGGAAACGGCATCCTGCAAATGCGTTTGTGCAATATCGTTGTATGCGATTCCTGATGGTTGTAAGTCGTTAGTTGGGCCGGAAAAACGAACACAGTTGATGATGTTTTCCTTCCGCACTGATTCCCATGCCTTTGATATCATTAGAATAGCGTCAAGAATACTGACTTTCGTATCGTCGTTATTCTCTCTCTTTTCTATGATTTTGTACACCAATTCTTTCTGAAAGCATGCTTTAAGACTTCTTATAACTCCTTGGTCCTTGGGCTGCAGTATGGACATACAATTTGGAGGCAGAAAACGAGTTTAATTTGTTTTAACCTGTCAACTGGGGGTGGGACAGACAGTTGTGTTTCTTTTGTTGTAAAAGTTCACTGTGCCATTTTATTAAAGTCTTTTCAAAAATAGCCCATGCCATCCAGGCTTTTTTTTATTGAAATCGTAAGAGAGATTTTTCACGATTTTAAAACAGCGCGGCATTTTACTTTTTCCCATCACCAAAAGCTTCCTTTTTATGGAACCGGACATGTTGGCTGCAACAATAACTGTATCTCGCTCTTTTGAGAGTTTACCACCGGAACAATGCTCCCCTTTAAACTCTAACGTGTGATCAGGTGTCAGTCTAAAAAATAACCCCATCTCGTCAGCATTAAAAATTTCATCATCGCTATAGTCTGACCTGAGTGTAGGCCACACATTTTCAACCCAGTCATTTGTAATTGATCTGTCAACAACTGCTGACTCACCTGAAACTTTTCCATGAATAATATTGTGGCGAACTCGGAAACGTTAAACCCAATAAGCATGACACTTAAAATCCTTCTTCAAACTCACAGCGAAAGCGTCAGACTTTACCTGAAGCATCGGCCCACTCACGGGTACATTGTTTGCGCATTGTTGTTTGAACCAATCGAGCAAAGTACTTTTAATGTCACTGTGATTTGATGACCGAACGCGTTTTCCTTTTTCACACTTATTAAATTGCACAATAATTTTCTCTCGCCGTTTTATTATTCTAGCAATTGTTGAGCGTGACGTTTTAAATTCCCGGGTAATTGAACTCGCGAAATCACCAGAATCGACTCTGCAAATTATTCTAAACTGTTCCTCAATAGTAAATTGTTTGTGTGACATGTTTTCTATAAAGGCTAGACACAACTGAATTCAAATTCAGAAACTTTTGGCTTGGGACAAATGGTGTAATATACACAAAATTTTGTAATGTAATGGACCCGTCTTGGGAGGTCTAAATGTCTAAAGGACAAGTAATCAAGTTTAGATGCCTGCCCGGATGTACCATAACCATAAATTAATAAATCCTTACTTCTCATTTCGTGGTACTAAATATCAGTAATACCTTTGATATTACAATACAATACAATACAACACTACAATGCCCATTTTCATAACTTTACAGGATAGCACTTTTAAACTTATTTATTAAGTTCTGAAGCTATTTTCTTGGGGCATTTTAAAGTAATTACTATTTAAATGGGAATAAGAGACAATTAAAGGTTAAAATACATTTTTTGATGTTTCAATTTCCACTTCCAAAATCCTTCTCAAAATACAATTGACTAATGTTTCTATTTTGAGAATGATTTCCTAAGTGGAAATTGAAACGTCAATAAACATATTTTAATCTTTAATTGTGGCTTATTCCCATTTAAATAGTAATTACTTTATTTATTAAGATGTGGAAACAATATTATATTGAACATTGTATCTACTGTCATTGTACTGTCATTGAACATTGTATCTACTGTCATAATTGAAAAAAATGGACTGCTAGTGTTCCAAGAAATATGTTTGCTCTAACTGATTTGTTCATTATAAGCAACAATATAAATGCGTTTTTTGTGTTTTATTTTATAGGGCCTATTATTTTGTTTTTTTATATTAGATTGTACATTATAGCTGGTGTTGTTGTAAACGATTTTAACTGTATATTGTTAAATATTCTGATTTTTACCAAAAAAATTCTAAAATGATTCATAAATTCATTTGTATGTGCTGTGAGTTTGTTTGACTGTGTAGTTTAAGTTCATTTCTATTTACTGACTTACACCAAATGGATTCTGAACCTTCCATAGACAAAGTACATAAGGGACATAGAATTCCTTGACTGAATTACTACTGCATAAATATGTTCACTAAAGTCTGAGATTGTGCAGAAGAGCTTTAGACCAAGTAGGAGTTCTCCTGTACTCCACACACAACTGATTGGCCAGGGAAGTTATTATCCTTTCTATAGCATATACCAATCACTAATAGGGAAGATTCTGTGCATATATAGAACACATGTGAATATGGTATAACCAAATAAATATCCACAAATAAACTGCAATTAGGACAGATGCTGCAGCTGTGATTAACTGTAGATCTGTTAAATGAACATGACACACACAATCAGCAAATCACTAGATAGTTGTACAACAACTGGCTATCATATGGTAAGATTTACACTGTGACTACTGTGCCCTCAATCATTGCATACCCAGGGAAAGCATGTTATAGCAGGAAAAGTGTTTTTAAGTGAAGCTCTAAACTGGACTTTTGGGAGATTTAGCCTATACCTGACAATATATTGTCCCAACTCATTGGAGTAAAATGGAGAGGGGAGAACAAAAGAAAAGATATGATCAAGAAGAGTTATTGTTGTGAAGCTATTTTCTTGTTGCATCTTAATGTAATTTACTATTTTTACTAAGAATAAACCACAATTTTATTTTAAAATAAGTTTATTTTAAAGGAAATTGAAACATCAAAATAAACAGCATTTCAAAGCAAAATTGTGGCTTATTATTAGTAAAAATAGTAAATTGTATCCAGAACAGAACTCAGAAATGTATCTTTGTATAATCAAGAAGAGTTATTGTTGGTAAACTATTTTCTTGTTGCATCGTATGCAATTTACTATTTTTACTGTAAATAAGGCTCAATTTTACTTTAAAATAAGTTTATTTTAAATAAACAGCATTTCAAAGTAAAATTGTGGCTCATTCTTAGTAAAAATAGTAAATTGTATCCAGAAGAGAACTCAGAAATGAGTGATCTTTGTATACAAAACAAATATAGGGAATGAGCAGATTGGCGCGACCCCAGTCGAGGACTCTGTCTTTCCTTTAAATAGATCGCAATTATCCCAATTAAGATCCTACAGGCGAACCTTCAGCAGTAAGTTAGCTTTGGTGGAAGACCTTTCTTTCTTTTGCTATGAAGTTTAATGTCGATTGTTGATTTGTGTTCATAAAAAAATGAAAGCATTTATGCTATAAATTAATTATTTGAAAGTATGAAAAAATACTTACCAAATGATGTCGTAGGGGCGCCGGTTCCAAAAGCAGACTTTCCAAACATCGCAATTACTGACTTAAGACCTTAAATGTAATTTTCTAATCCTAAAATCCAGTTCATTAACCAATTAAGTCTTGATAACTAACACTTCACCATCAAAATATCAACATAAATAAATCTAACTTGTTATTAATATATTTTTATATAAATCATAAAACCAACACACTCCACCACTCGTTTAGACTCGAGTCGTTGACTGAATTCAACGAATGACAGATGGCAGACAGATAGAAAGATAAGTTCCTACACGCGTATTGGTCAGAAGTCTCCTATACAATTTATTAAACTTCTTTTTCTACTTACTTTTACAAGGCGATAACATTCGATTTTTTAATTAAAACTTAGCTATTAAAAGTAATTTTTAAACATTCTTGTAGAATTTGTATTAAAGAGGGGAAAAATAATTTAAAATCTTGTAATGTTAGAATTATTGTGCAAAATTTTGAAAGATGTCTTTAGCAGTGTTGCCATGGTTACAGGGAAAAATGAATCACGGCTGAGATCATTTGATGCAGGAGTATAATCTCATATGTTACAATTTCAGTTTTTGATTCAAATTCAATATGTAAATTTTTAAGTTCTAAAATATTGAAAAAAGTGCACACCCACTAACAAATCAATTAATCTATATAATATATAAATATATACCAAAGAACACACGGGAAAAAAAATCATCAAAGGTGTATAAAGTGTCCACAGAAAATTTTAACAGAAATAAATAGATATGAGAAACGATAAAAAAGTAAGGTAGAATAAAGTAGGTAATATTCTTGTATAATATGTATTGAATACGGAAAAATAATTTAAAATCTTGTAATATTAGAATTTATTGCGCAAAATTTTGAAAGATGTCTTTAGCAGTGTTGCCAAAATTATCCGAAAAAATGAGTCATGATAGAGTGGTTATAGATAAAAAAAAGTGCGCATCCATTAAAAAGTAATTAATTATACTACACCAAAGAAGAAGTCGGAAACGAAAACTATCAATATAAAATGTCCACATAAAATCTCAACAGAAATAAGTAAATATGGGAGACGATAAGACAAATATGGTAAAGGAAAGAAATATGCAGAAAACATAATAATTATAAAATTCAAAGTTATATTTTTAAAGACAAATTCTTTGACCACCTCAAAATTATGATCGTTTATGGCAATGTTTTGTCTTATTCGCTGTCGTTCCTTTTTTGATACGACCATGTATTTAATTTTTTCTTCGTTTATTTTCAGGCCTAAGCTTAGTGTTGCTTCTTCAAAGTTCGATACTTGTTGTCTGTGCTACTGCATCTACATCATCTGCAAATGCGAGAATAATCTTTGCTCCTCTGGCAGTTATGTCTGGTTTGACTCTGGTATAGATTTTTCGCATTTCCTATTCCAATGCTAGGTTAAATAGTAATGGGGACAGCGGGTCTCCCTGTCTGAGCCCGGTGCTTATGCCGAAAGCCTTTGAAGTTTTGCCTCCTATTCTAATTTGTGCAAAGGAATTGTTGACACACATTCGCGCAATCATGGTCAGCTTCTTTGGTACGCCTAACTCCATCATTGCACTCCACAGTTTTAAGCGATCTATGGAATCATATGCTTGTTTGAAATCTATGAAGATCTGGTGTACTTCGTTATTATATTCCCAATACTTTTCTAGCATTTGTCTGATAGTTAATATTTGGTCGATTGTTGATCTTCCAGGCCTAAAGCCGCATTGGTAATCGCCAATAATTTCCTCTGTATATGGCAGTAATCGTTTAAGTACAACTGAAGCTAATATCTTATATGTAGTACCGATTAGTGAGATTCCCCTGTAGTTGCCACATGTATCCTTTCTGCCTTTTTTATGTATTGGCACGATAATACAGCCACTCCATTCTTTTGGCATTATTTCTTGTTCCCAGGCTTCTTTCATTAATTGGTATATTTTAGTTCTAAGTTCATAACTAACCTTATTCGATTCGATGCCGATCCTAACCTAACCTAACTGATAACGGTGGATTCCAATCCTTTAATCAGAAAAAGAACCAGTAACCTCCAAAAAGCAGTGCCGTCCTAACTTTGTAGACATCTACGGAAAGAACACCAAGTGAAGCCCCTGGTGGATTAGCTGTCGAGAACAAGACGATTTGATGTTTTTGGAACTCATGTAAGTCTAATATTGAATCATCTTGTATATCATTTTTGTTTTATACTTTTTATTACCATAGGTATACTGTTCGATATTCCAGTATTAAATATTCTTTTAATTAATAATTGTATGCCGAATTTAAATATTTTTTGAAAATTACTTTAATAATTATAAACTTTTGGTGATTATTCTGTAAATCAATTATTTTGAATTATTATTTTAATATTTACATTTTCGATTTATTATTTTGATATTTACATTTTGTTTTATTATTTGATATTTATATTTGATTAATTATTTAGTTATTAATCCATAATCTTATATTTTTATTTCTATTTCGTTTATTGATTTATTAACTACCATGAATCATAACGTCAACATTTCTCGTCCCGCTTCTCGTAATGAGAACCAGCCTGAAATAGAACCTTACAAATTATCCGAAATATTTTCTATCGTACTAACGTAATATTTTCTAATTCACATAAAAAATAAATTACGGGGAGAAGCAGCGCAACTTACAAGTTCAAGAAATCCATTATCGTATCTAGAAATCAAACAGCTTCTTACTTCTCATTTTGGAGACAGTAGAGACTTATCTTCTTTGATACAAGATTTACAGAGAGTCAAGCAACTTCCAAATGAATCGGCTCTTACATTCCTTAATCGCGTCAAAGTCCTTAACGCAAAAATGCATGCTAACATGCAGAAATCTAACCTCTCTGCTGTAGAGAAACAGGTCCAAATTGTATTAATTGAATCAATGGCGCTCAATACCTTATTGACCGGCCTCGATCCAAAAATCGCTCACGTCATTCGTGCTAGTAATCCAAAAGACCTTCTTGAAGGTCAAGTCCGCATCAGACGATAGTTACCTATCAGAAACCTTCAACCACATAGATGCACATTTTGTGGACGTATGGGCTACTCGTACAACGAATGTCGTTCTCGACAAAATTCTCAAAATAATTCGCAATATTCCAGCAACTCCCATAATTTTAGCAATTCCCGAAATTTTAATAACTATCAAAACATCAATAATGATCAAAACAATGGCTTTCAAAGACCAACTATCAGTTCAAATAATAATTTCCAAAACAATAGACCCAATGATCAACAAAGACCTCAATTCACACCAAATCAAAATAATTCACAAGTTCGCCCTTCTGTAATATATAAGAATCCTAATTTTTCGAACGATAGGCACAGAGCTCATTTCGTTACCTATGAACCTGAATATGTTGATGACTTTACCCCAGCTCCAAATGAAAGCTACCAATACGAATATTTTTCTGATAATAATTATTCACCTCCTAATTATTACCATTCATTCGATCAACCAACCGATTTAATTGATAGCCAAGAAAGACTATCAGGATTTTCTCACAGTCCCGAATCAGAACCACCCACCAGACAATACCAGTTCAATGAACGAATCGTTGTCTCAAATACAAAATCAGATTCAAACTCTGAATTTGGACGACATGAACCCATCTCTGAACTTTCCAGATCAGAATTTTCTTTAAGCCCTCTTCTTGCTGTGAACTCTAAAAACCTGTACTATATAAAAGACGCATCAAATACTTTTAAATTACTTATCGATACCGGTGCTGGTATCTCTATCTTCAAAGAAAATGCTGTGAAAAATTTTAAACCACGTTTTCCCGAACAAATACAGGGTATTACAGACCAAAAAATTTTTGTCACTGAATCAACTTTAGTCCCGTTTCAAGTGGGAAACCCCCATAAGGTTTTCATTTATAATTTAGATATTGATTTCGATGGAATCTTAGGTCTCGATTTCTTAGAACATTACGAGTGCACGATAGAACTAAAAACAAACAACTAATCACAAACTTTAAAACATTACCTCTCCACAAAGTAGAAACTAATTCGCGTAACAATGAATCCCCTAATCAAATTAAAATAGATCCCAGATTCGAACAAATAACAAAATTCAAGTTAAAATGTCCTCTGTCGAATACAGATGGAATTTTGCACAGAAAAGAAAAAGTCCATATCCCCAACGCGTTAGTACACGTAAATGAAAAAGGAGAATTTCTGACATCCGTAGTAAACGCAAATGAAATTCCCAAAATTATCGACTTTTCCAATATAGTAATTGAACCCTATTTAAACTATCCTATCCTAAATTTTCAGTTGAACGATAACTTGGAAAATTATTGCTCTGATAAAATTGATCGTACCAACAAAATAAAATCTCGACTTCGAACAGAACATCTTAACAAGGAAGAACAAGAACTAATAACAAATCTTTGCTTAAATTACGAAGACATATTTTACTTAGAGGGAGACAACCTCACTTTCACCAGTGAGATTAAACATCAAATTGAAACTAATAACGCCAAACCCATTTTTACGAAGTCATACAGATATCCTCAGGTCCACAAAGAGGAAGTTAAATCTCAAGTAAATAAGATGATCAACGAAGGTATCATCCGGCCCTCTACTTCTTCTTGGTCATCTCCTGTTTGGGTTTTTACCAAAAAAATGGATTCTGCTGGAGAACAAAAATGGCGGGTAGTAATAGACTATCGCAAGCTCAACGAATGTACCATTGACGATAAATACCCTCTTCCTAATATCTTTGATCTTTTAGACCAGCTTGGAAAGTGCCAATATTTCACAACTCTCGATCTTGCCTCCAGGTTTCATCAGATCGAAATCGATCCCAAAGACATTCCTAAAACAGCATTCTCCGTCGAAAACGGACACTATGAATTTACTCGTATGCCTTTTGGACTTAAAAATGCACCGTCCACATTCCAGCGTGTCATGGACAATATTCTTTTAGGTATTTTGAACGAACGATGTCTTGTCTACATGGACGACATTATAGTATACACTCCTACCATTCACGAGCATATTTCTCGTCTTACCGAAGTCTTTAAACGTCTTCGAAAAGCTAATCTTAAAATCCAGCCTGATAAATGTGAATTTCTCAGGAAAGAGGTGGCGTATCTCGGACATCTCATTACCCAAAATGGCGTCAAGCCTAACCCTTCTAAATTCGATTGTATCCAACGATTTCCTGAACCGAAAACACCAAAATAAATAAAATCTTTCCTAGGTCTAGCTGGTTACTATCGTCGTTTATTCCCAATTTTGCCAAACTCTCAAAACCTGTCACTAGACTTCTCCAAAAAGACGTTTGAAGATTTGAAAAACGCTTTAATTTCTGACCCGATTCTGACCTATCCAAATTTTGAGGAACCATTCGTCCTCACAACAGATGCAAGTGCATTCGCCATCGGCGCTATATTAT